CTGCTACATCAGGATGGGAGGGGGCCCTGCAAAGTGGGGTGGGGTCCCCTCCCAATGCCCCTTATTAGCATAGCAGCTGCTGCAGGGAAAGGGGTCCAGGAAAAAAGGGGGGGCTTGAGGAATGATACAACAGAAGGGAAGGAAGCAAAGGAGGAATGCAAGGGAGGAAGGATGGAAAGAAGGAGTGAAAGAGGATGGAAGAAAAGGGAAAGAAGTGGGTTTAGGGAAGGAAGGAGCAAGGAAGGCAGGAAGGGAAAAATGGAAGGAAGAAAGAAATGAGAGAGATCAGGAGAGGAGAAAGAGGGAAGAAGAAAGGATGAGAGAGATGGAGAGCAAGGAAGGAAGGAGAGCATGGAAGGAAAGAAGGAAGGAGAAAGAAAAGTGAGAGGAAAGAGAAAAAGGAATGGAAAGAAAGGAGGGAAGGAAAAAGAGGAAGGAGGAAAGGATGAGAGAGATGGAGGGAGGGAAAAAGGAGGGAAAGCAAGGAATGAAGGAGGAAAGGAGGAGAAATAAATGGAAGGAAAAAAGAAAGGAAGAAATAAGGGAAGGAAGGAGAGAAAGAGGAAGGACAGAAAGAGATGGAAAGAAAAAGGGAAGATCATGGAGAGAAAAGGAGCAGGGAGGGAGGGAAATAGKATGGAGAGCATGAAGGGAGGGCGAGAAGGAGAAATAAAAGAGAGGAAGGAGAGAAAGAAATGGAAGGAAAAAACGAGGGTAGGAAGGAAAAAGGAAGGAGAGCAAGGAAGGAAAGAGCATGAAGGGAGAGAGGGAAGGAAGGAGAGAAAGAAATGGAAGGAAAGAAATGAGGAAGGGGGGRGGGAGGAAAAAGGAAAGAGAAGGAAGGAAAGAGACCGTGAAGGGAGGGAAGGAAGGAGAAATAAAAGAGAGGAAGGAGAGAAAGAAATGGAAGGAAAAAATGAGGGAATGAAAGAAAAAGGAGCAAGGAAGGAAAGAACATGAAGGGAGAGAGGGAAGGAAAGAGAAATGGAAGGAAAGAAATGAAGAAAGGAGGGAAGGAAAAAGGAAGGAGAGAAGAAAGKAAAGAGCATGGAAGGAGGGAAAGAAGGAAAGAGAAAGGAGAGGAAGCAGAGGAAGAAATGGAAGGAATGAAATGAGGGAGGGAAAAGGATGGAGAGCAAAATAAAAAAATAAATGGAAGGAAAAAAATGAAGAAATCAGGGAAGGAAAGAAGGAGAGAAAGAGATGGAAGGAAAACAGGGAGATTGAGGAGGGAAAAGAGAACAGGGAGGGAAGGAAGGAAGAATGGAAGGGAGGAAAGAAAAAGGAAATACAAGAAAGAAAAAGGAAATACAAGAAAGAAAACCAGAGAAGACTCCCATCCCTTGTCCATCTTTTGTCATTCTTTCCTCCCTCCCTCCAGCAGAGGAAGAAAGGAAGAAAGACTCGTGAAACTAATCTCGGTGTCTTTGTGTACATACATATAAACATATGTTCTATATATACACAGACAGACAACACAAAGCTGAGGCCATCAATACCAGGAACAGCCCAACATTCAAAAGAAGCCAAAGAGGAACAGAGTCTGTGAGGCCGAGCCTTAGAGACGCAGCGTTTACTTGCGGGGTTTGCTCTTACTTTGATTCCAGGTGGCAAAGGCCTTTGGGGACGCATTTCACTCGGCAATAGATTGAAAGCAAACACAAGTTTTTCTCTTTTCCTTTTTATAAAAAGTTTGTGAAAAACACAAAAAAGAGAGAGATTTATTTAGCAACTTCTCACCTGGGACTAGGTCACAAAAACGCTAGATCATACAATTCATTTCCTGTACAGAATTCTCTCTCTCTTTAATAATCATAATTAAAAAAGACTCCAGTTAAAAAGTGATCATACAGTGACCCACAAACAGCTTCAATATAAGCCTAAACCTCTTAAGAACAAATATTAATTAACATAATTAAAGAAAGGAAGGTATTTGCCATCTAGAAGAAAGGAGGGAGAAAGACCGTACACAGTCCAAGACGAGGATTATTTCATTCAGTTTCTGAAAGATGTATATTTCCATTTTTCCCCACAAACAGGAGAAATATTCAGGCTATTTTTAATTAAAATATTAATTAAAAAAAGGAAGGGAATCAACATCATAACCAAGGTCACAGCAGCACAGGTCTGCAAATGGGGTGGAGAATGCCTTTTATTTCCTCAAAATGGGAGGTTTGCATAGAAAGAAAAATGGGGGGAAAGAGAGATATAACACCCAATAAATTCAAATGTGGAACCCCCAAAATGTTTCAAAATATTAAACCTTTTTAATTCTATAAATATTTGGAAATATTCAAAAATAATAGTCCAGAAAACTGGGTTCCCTGTGAATTTTCCAGGCTGTATAACCATATTGCAGAAGCATTCTCTCCTGATGTTTCACCCACATCTATGGCAGGCATCCTCAGAGGTTGGGAAGTCTGTTGGAAACTAGGCAAGTGAGAGTTTTCTGTGGAATGATGTCCAGGGTGGGAGAAAGAACTCTTGTCTGTTGGAGGCAAGTGTGAATGTTGCAGTTGGCCACCTTGATTAGCATTTAATGGCCTTGCAGCTTCAAAACCTGGCTGATTCCTGCCTGGGGGAATTCTTTTTTGGGGAGGTGTTAGCTGGCCCTGATTGTTTCGTCTAGAATTCCTCGTTTTCTGAGTGTTGTTCTTTATTTATTATTCTGATTTCAGAGTTTTTAAAATAGTGGTAGCCAGATGCTTATGGATTTCAGTGGCTTGTCTGTGTATTCTGATACAATAGCTGTCAAAGTGGTCCAGCATTTCTGTGTTCTCAAATAATAGGCTGCATCCAGGATGGTTTATCAGGTACTCTGCTACAGCTGACTTCTCTGGTTTAATTAGTATGCAGTGCCTTTCCTGTTCTTTGATTCGTGTCTGGGCAATGTTGCTGCATTTGGTGGTCCCTATGTAGCCACATGGTATATAGTAGACTCCTGCAGAGGTGAGAGGATCCCTCTTGTCCTTTATTGAACTGAGCTTTTTTTTTTTTTTTGAATTTTTAGTGGATCTGTAGATTGTTTTAGGTTGTGCTTCATTGGCTTCCCTATGCGGTCCGTGGTTCCCTTGATGTATGGCAAGACCACTTTCCCCCATGCAGGAAGCAGCCAGTTTTTGAAGCTGCAAGGCCATTCAATACTAATCAAAGTGGCCAATTGCAACATTCACAGACAAGTTCTTTCTCCCACCCTGGACATTATTCCAGAGATATATAAACTGCAGTTGCTTCGTTTCCAACAGACCTCACAATTTCTGAGGATGCTTGCCATAAATGTGGGCAAAACATCAGGAGAGACTGCTACTGGAACATGACCAGACAGCCCGGAAAACTCACAGCAACCCAGTGATTCCGGCCATGAAAGCCTTCGACAACACACAGTCCAGAAAACATTCTAATTTTGAAATATTCAATTTTTTTAAAATATATATATATAGTCCAAAATATTTTTTTAAAGTATTCAGCAGGGCTTACAGCAACTCATAAGGGAAAATAAAATAAAAATAAATCAATACCCCCCTGGAAGAAAAAAAACCCCAACTTTTTCAGAGCAATAAATCCATTCCCCTCCCATTAAAATACATGCAATTCTAGCTCATTTTTCATAAGAAAAATGGGACAAAAAGGTTTCACAGTCTTCAAATGTAGACTTTTTTCCTTAATATATATATATATATTCTATATAAAAATATATAAATATGTGTTAACATCTTTACAGGCACTCCCAAGAGAGTTTTTCTTTCTTTTTTTTCCTTTAGAAAAACCAGCTGTTTTTAAAATTCCCTCGTTTCCTAAGAACTACCCTCCTAGATATCTTGGGTTTCTCAACTATTTTAATTTTTCTATTCATTAATAATAATAACTAGGTTGCTGTGAGTTTTCCAGGCAGAATGGCTATGTTTTAAAAGCATTCTCTCCTGACGTTTCGCCCACATCTATGGCAGGCATTCCCCCAGGCTTTGAAGATGCAAGGCTATTAAATGCTAATCAAAGTGGCCAATTCCAAAGCAGACAAGAGGTCTTTCTCCAAACCTGGACATCATTCCACAGATTCTGTTTTGGTTAGACCACATCTGGAATATTGTGTCCAATTCTGGGCACCACAATTCAAGAGTTCTTTCTCTATTCCGCTTTGGTTAGACCACACCTCAAATATTGTGTCCAGTTCTGGGCACCACAATTCAAGAGAGATATTGACAAGCTGGAATGTGTCCAGAGGAGAGTGACTAAAATGATCAAAGGTCTGGAGAACAAGCCCTATGAGGAGTGGCTTAAGGAGCTGGGCATGTTTAGCCTGAAGAAGAGAAGGCTGAGAGGGATATGATAGCCATGTATAAATATGTGAGAGGAAGTCACAGGGAGGAGAGAGCAAGCTTGTTTTCTGCTTCCCTGGAGACTAGGACACGGAACAATGGCTTCAAACTACAAGAAAGGAGATTCCATCTGAACATGAGGAAGAACTTCCTGACTGTGAGAGCCGTTCAGCAGCGGAACTCTCTGCCCTGGAGTGTGGTGGAGGCTCCTTCTTTGGAAGCTTTTAAACAGAGGCTGGATGGCCATCTGTCAGGGGTGATTTGAATGCAATATTCCTGCTTCTTGGCAGAATGGGGTTGGACTGGATGGCCCATGAAGTCTCTTCCAACTCTTTGATTCTATATAGAAACCCCAGTTGCTTCATTTCCAACAGACCTCACAACCTCTGAGGATGCCTGCCATAGATGTGGGTGAAATGTCAGAAGAGATTGCTTCTGGAACATGGCCTGGAAAACTCACAGCAATCCCAGTGATTCGGACAAGGCATATAATAACAATGTCATAAATGTTATGACATTTGAATTGTGGCAAATCCATGTACACGAAAGAAAGAAAGAAATTATGTGCAATTCTAAAAATAAAAAATGGAATTTTAAGAATGCCCCCTCCCCCAAAAAAATGACACAAAAAAGACCACAAAATTTACCAAAAAAACCCCACAAAATGGGAAAAATAAAAGTCAGTGCAATTGAGGGAGGAGGGCAGGAAGAAAAAGAAAGAAAATATCATTCAATTCCTGCTTCTTCCCCCCAAAAAACTGTATTTCCGAGGCATCCCTTCAAACACAACACCCAATATATATAGATATATATACATAGGCACACACATATATGTACACACAGTGAACAAACATACACACAATCTTATTTACATGGATAAATAGCGGGGAAATGTGTCTTGCAAAGAGCAGGGGGTGTCTTATGGCAATCCTATTCAACAAATAGGGTTAGATTTTAAGTTTTCCAAGTTCCCTCAGAAACGCACCTCAGCCTTTTCTGGCGCTTCCCAACCTCTAGGCCGCTTTGGACTCCATTTCCCAGAAGCCTCGGCAGTGGCGGCGAAGGAGCAGGCACTCTGGGAAATAGAGTCCAAGGCTTGAAGTGACGTCACAGCGACTAGGCCTAGCTTCCAAGGGGCCTTGGGACTCCAACTCCCAGAAGCCTCCACCGCTGCGGTCAATGAGCAAGGATGCTGGGAGATGAAGTCCAAAAGGCCCCATTCCTAGAAGGGAGTAACAGAATGCTCCCTATTCCCCCAAAAGGGGGGAAAATGTACCCTTCCCCACCCACCCCATTCGGAGACTCCTATGCTTCATTTGGAGGTTAATACCGCATCGAATGCGGGGCAAAAGGGGCGTCAAGACAGCAGCAAGCTCCTGAAATTGGGGAAAGGAAGCAGGGGTAAATACTGCGGGGCGCAACCGAGGTAGATGGAAGGCGAGGGAAAGGAACCGCGGAGGGGTTTTACAGTAGAACCAAGGCCCAGACACAAAGTCATCACACAATCCTATCTATCAAAAGGACTCCAGAGCAGAATCACGCAACACATTGAACGGGAGGCTTCTTCCCAGCAGCTTCGACATATTCCTGGAGGCCCCGGGCTTCGCGGCTCCTCGAGTCTCTCTCTTCGCCACGCGAGTCCAATAAATCCACGGGACCATCCCTGTTCCTTTTGAGTCCTCTCGGCCGACCTCGCAGGGAGGGTTTGTTTTGTCCTGTTTTGCGCCCCGAGCGGCGCCCTGCGGTACTGCATCCAACGCGGACAGGCGGCCCTGATTGGCTATGGAGTCAGAAGGGGGCGTGGCGAGGGTTTTTGTTTTGCCCTCTCGCTCTACGCCTCCAGTTGGCAGCCTGCGGTACTGCATACAACGCCCTGATTGGCTGCGAGGTGAAAACAGGGCGGGGCGAGTGTTTTGTTTTGCCCTTTCGCACTCCGCCCCCAGTTGGCGGCCGGCGGTACTGCATCCAACGTGGAAAGCCCGCCCTGGTTGGCTGCGGGGTGCGGAGGGTTTTGTTTTGCCCCCTCGCTCTTCGCCCCCGGTTGGCAGCCTGCGGTATTGCATCCAACGCAGATTGGCTGCGGGGCCAGAAGGGGGCGTGGCAACACCACAGGCAGATTCTCTCTCACCTCGAGGCCCCGCCCCCGGCGGCTCCTCCTCCTCCGCCGGCCCCGCCCCCGGCGGCTCCTCGCCCGGCGCATGCGTACTTGGCCCGCGTGACGAGGTAGAGGACGATGTCCTGGTGGCCCCCGAAGGCGGCGATGTGGAGGGCGCTCCAGCCGTCGCGGTTGGCCAGCCGGGCGTCGGCGCCGAACTTGACCAGCAGTTTAACCAGCTCCAGGTTGCCTTCGATGACGGACTGGTGCAGCGCCGTCTGCCCCTCCGGCCCGAAGGCGTTGACGTTGAACTCGCAGCTGGACATGCCTTGCAGCAAGGCCTGCAGCGCCGCCGTGTTGCCCGCCCGCACCGCCTCCTGGAAGACCCGCTGGCTCCCCGGCAGCGAAGGCGAGGCCGGCGCCGTCGAGGACGGAAGAGGCGCCGGGCAAGAGGAGGACGAGGAAGACGAAGAGGACGCCGCTGTCGTTCCTGTTGCCGCCCCGCAAGGGGAGACCTCCGTCTGGCTCATGGCATCAGACCTCCCTCCTCCGCGTCCGCCGAGGCACTGAGCGCCTCGCAGAAGCGCCGCCGCCTTTTAAACTGCCCTCATTTGCATAACAATGTGGATTGGCTGCGCGGGGGGAGATGGGGAGGAGCCCCGCGGGGAGGGGGCGCGGCCAGCCTGATTCAGCTCCTTCTCTCCTAACAATACCACAGGCAAAGAGCGGATAGGCTCGAGGCGGGAAGGGGCGGGGCCGCGTAGCCAGGGGGAGTGGCCATCCGGTGCAGGTTTCTTAAAGGCATATTCCCCTCCAATCCGAAGAATCTTCTATCTTATGCTGGACACAGCATATTATTTGAGAACACAAAAATGCTGGACCACTCCAACAACCACCATGTCACACTACACAGAGAAGCCATTGAAATACACAAGCATGTGGACAATTTCAACAGAAAGGAGGAGACCATGAAAATGAACAAAATCTGGCTACCAGTATTAAAAAACTCTAAAATTACTACAGCAAAACAGCAGAGAGGAAACAACCAGGCACATCTTAACACCTCTCAACGGAACAATTTCCCAGGCTCAGCCAAGCCTTCAAATGCTAATGAAGGTGGTCAGCTGAAACATTCACACCTAGCTTCGGCAGAAAGCTCTTTGCCCCACCCCAGTCATTCCACAGATATATAAACCCATTTTCCTATTTCCAACAGACCTCACTACCTCTGAGGATGCTTGCCATAGATGCAGGCGAAACGTCAGGAGAAATGCCTCTAGAACATGGCCCTATAGCCCGAAAAAACCTACAAGAATCTAGTGATTCCAGCCATGAAAGCCTTCGACAATACAATCTTCTATCTATCTATATCTTCTATATATCTACAAAATATAACTAGAATAATAATTTCTTTATTTGACCATTCATATGACCATTTTAAGATACAACACGAGTAAAAGGCAAGGCAAAAAGGAGAGGACAACAGCTGACCTTCTATTTCCAGTCAGAGTCTTATTTTCCTGGTTCTTCTTTTAGGAAATGTGCTTTTTTCTTGATAGCTTCTATATAAATTAAAATGTAATGTTCGTTTGTGGGATTAACATAACTCAGAAACCACTGGGCTAACTGACACCAAATTTGGACACAATACACCTATCAGGCCAACAAGTGATCATCACTCATAAAAACACTGAAATCACAGTGAAAGAGACTTAAAAAGCCAAAAAAATTTACAATGCATGCACAAAATACATTACAATGCATGCACAAAACCACATATATATACACACAAAACACATATACACAGACTGGGCCACAGCAACGTGTGGCAGGGGACGGCTAGTCTACACAAATAAAAATGTAATGTTTGTGTGTGGGATGAACATAACTCAAAAACCACTGGAAAAATTGGCACCAAATTTGGACACAATACACGCATTAAAACACACAAAAATCCAGCAGAACTGACTTTAACCTCCTCCCCCCCAAAATAAACAATATATACATATACACATACATTCATATACATATACACATGCACACATACGTACATACACACACACACATATATGCAAGCACACATACGTACATACACACACACACATATATGCAAGCACACACACATACACACCTATATATACACCTACACACACACATATATACACACATATGCATATACACAAGCATACACATATACACAATATACATATACACATATAAAGAGAAATATATACATATATATATATATATACACACACACATATACATACACAAAAGACATATGTAATGTTTGTTTGTGGGATTGACATAACTCAAAAACCACTTGATGAATTGACACCAAATTTGGACACAAGACACCTATCAGGCCAACAAGTGACCATCACTCATAAAACACTGAAAAACACAGCAGAAGAGACTTAAAAAGCCAAAAAATAAAATAATAAAATACATTACAATGCATGCACAAAACCACGTATATACACATATGCACAAGTATATACACATATATACACAAACTAAACACATATACACAGCAACATGTGGCAGGAAATGGCTAGTAATAAATAATCATAAATTATTTATATCCTGCCCCATCTCACTGTGAGAACTCAGGGCAGCTAACAAACATTGAAGGGCAAACATTAAATGCCATCAAAGTGCATACATAAAATAATCAAGGGTATAAAATAGTATAGCATTCAATAATATAAAGAGACCATAACAAAACAATAAACAATGCCAAAAAGTTAAAAAAAACCATGTCCATTTTCCTCCATATGCTTGGGTGCATAGGAAGGCTTGTAATTGGGTTGCTATGAGTTTTCCGGGCTGTCTGACCATGTTCCAGAAGCATTCTCCCGACGTTTCACCCACATCTATAGCAGGAATCCTCATAGGTCGAGGGATCTGCTGGAAACTAGGCAAGTGAGGTTTATATATTTGTGGAATAATGTCCAGGGTGAGAGAAAGAACTCTTGCCTGCTTGAGGCATGTGTGAATGTTGCAATTTTATGATTAGCACTGAATGGCCTTACAGCTTCAAAGCCTGGCTGGTTGCTGCCTGGGGGATTCTTTGTTGGGAGGTGTTAGCTGCCTATCATACCCCTGCCCAGGGTCATGACCTGCCTGTTTGGGCCTATGGGGAATGCTAAATGTCCAAAGGATGCTGTTTGCAATAATAATAATAAAATCAAAATAATATAATATCTGGACTGGGCCAGACCCATGCCAGTCTGATCTTGTTGAGTTGGTCATATTGGGTATGCAATCCATGCTTTGTCCAGGTCTGTCATTGGCGGGGTTCATATTATTATTATTTTGTCTAGAAAAGGGGGAGATAAGGGTCGGAGTGGGTTCTCCCTAGCAAATTATATTTTTTGGGGTCATCTGCAAAAAAGAATATATTTTTCTTTGTGCCTGGTTTCTCTCTGAAGTTGTTCCCAGGGTCCTTCCAGGTTTATTATTGCAGCCAAATGGCCCCCAAGGCCTTCACTGGCCCAAATGGCCACCAAGTGGCTGGCGGGACAGAAGGA